AGCCCTAAACCCTGCTCTATCCTACCAATTTATAGTCTCTGACACACCTTCCCCTATTATTCCAGTCATCGAATCAACCAATCTCATTGAGGGTCTTCCTTTCCTGCACTGTCCCTCCACCCTCCCAAGCATGAAGTCCCTCTCCAAGAACTGGTCTATCCTTGCAATATATCCAAAGTATGTCAGATGAAGCTTCAAAATCCTTACCTCCAAAAAGCAGCCTGGTTTAACCTCTCCAGGATGAACCTGTTTGTTAGCAGTCCATGGTACATTCAATACTCCAACACTATAGCTCAAAGGCATCAATGCTCCTATCATCCCTAGTCATTGTCCAGCTCTGATGCATAGCAAGTGATTGCAAAGACCATGGCCTGTATCAGGCACATCTTAGTCTCCAGACTGACATCATTACTCTTCAGTACCCTGGAGAGATCTCTGACACAAATTTTGCCAATGCAATGCGTCTTTTAATTTCCTAACTGCTGGTACCAAGAGTGTTGATTGTGGAGTCAAGCAAACTAAAGCTGTTTACAATCTCAGTCTCTTCACCATCCATCACGATGCTGCCAGTCAGCCCAATGGTGAGAATCTTTGTTTTCTTGATATTGAACTTCAATCCATATTGAAGGCTGCAGTCCTTGACCTTCTGCAGCAAGCGATTCAGGGCCACTTCAGCTTCAGCAACCAGGCTTGTATCATCTGCATAATGCAGATTGTTATTGAGTCTTCTTCCAATCCTGATGCTACATTTCTCCTCATAGAGCCCAGCCTCCCAGATAATCTGTTTTGCACATAGAATGAAAAGGTATGGTGATAGGATACATCCTAGACGTACAGCCTTCCCAATTTTGAACCATGACGTGTTTCCTTGTTCTGTTCTGACTACTGCCTCCTGGTTTAAGCATAAATTTTGCATGAGCACGATCAAGGGTTCTGAGATTCCCATTCTTCTCAGAGTTAGCCACAGTTTATTGTGATCCACACGGTCAACTGCCTTTGCATAGTCAATGAAGCACAGATAGATATTCCTCTGGTATTCCCTGCTTTCAGCCAAGATCCATCTACTACTATCTAGTACCACGGCTTCTTCTAAAGAAGAGAACCAAACTGTACTTCAAGCATTTCTCTGCTGATGTGGGTTCCATTTGTTTTTGGATAATCTTCAGCAGAGTCTTGCTTGCATGTGATATCAGAGATACTGTTCAATAATTTCTGCACTCTGTTGGATCACCTTTCTTTGGAATAGGAACAGATACAAATCTCTTCCAGACAGTTGGCCAGGTGGTTGTCCTCCAGATTTCTTGGCACAACTTAGTGTGCATTTATCCAGGGCTACATCTGTGTGTTGAAATATATCAATTGTTATGCTATCAATTCCTGGAGCCTTGTTTTTTGGTAATTCTTTCAGAGCAGCTTGAACTTCTTCCTTTGTCACCACAGGCTCTTGCTCATACATTGTTTCATAAACATCTGTTTCCACCAATTCCTTTTGGTAAAATGACTTTGTATATTTTTTCGTCTTCTTTTAATACTTCCTAGATCATTTAATATTCTGCCCAAAGCATTCTTAAGTATTGCAACTTGAGGCTTGAATTTGTTCTTCAGTTCCTTGAGCTTAAGAAATGCTGAATCAGTTCTAATTTTCTGACTTTTGCTCTTTGCACGTTTCATTGTTGTTGTTGTTGTTGTTATGTGCTGTCGAGTCTCTTGCGACTCATAGCGACCCTATGTACAACAGCCCTAAACCCTGCTCTATCCTGTGCCAATCTCACTGCCTCTGACACACCCATCCCAATTACCCCAGTCACTGAATCAATCCACCTCATAGAGGGCCTTCCCCTTCTGAGTCATCACTCCACCCTCCCAAGCATGATGTCCTTCTCCAAGGACCTCTTCCTCCTTACAACATGCCTAAAGTATGTCAGACGAAGCCACAGAATCCTTGCCTCCAAGGAGTAGCCTGGTTTAACCCTCTCCAGGATGAATCTGTTTGTTTTCTTGGAAGTCCAGGGTACATTCAATACTCTTCTCCAGCACTACAGCTCAAAGGCATCAATTCTCCTTCTATCCTCCTTAGTCATTGTCCAACTCTCTGATGCGTAACAAGTGATTGCAAAGACCATAGCCTGTATCAGACGCACTTTAGTCTCCAGAGTGACACCACTGCTCTTCAGTACTTTGGAGAGGTCCCTAACAGCTGACTTTTCCATCGCAATACATGTTTTTATTTCCTGGCTACTGGTGCCAAGAGCATTGGCCGTGGAGCCAAGCAGACTAAAGTTGTTAACAAACTCAATCTCTTCACCATCCATCCTGATGCTGCCAGTTGGTCCAGTGGTGAGAATCTTTGTCTTCTTGACATTGAGCCTCAATCCATACTGAAGGCTGCAGTCCTTGACCCTCTGCAGCAAGCATTTCAGGTCCTCCTCAGTTTCAGCAAGCAGGATTGTATCATCTGCATAACACACCTTGTTAATAGATCTTCCACCAATCCTGACACCACACTTCTCCTCATAGAGCCCAGCCTCTTGGATAATCTGTTCTGCACACAGGTTGAAAAGGTATGGAGATAGGACACATCCCTGGCATATGCCTTTCCCAATTTTGAATCATGTAGTGTTTCCTTGCTCTGTTCTGACGACTGCCTTTTGCTCCAAGTATAGGTTTCACATTAGAACAATCAAGTGTTCTGGGATTTCCATTCTTCTCAGAGTCAGCCACAGTTTGTTATGATCCACACAGTCAAACACCTCTGCATAATCAATGAAACACAGATAGACATTCTTCTGGGCCAGTTGTTTTTGGATAATCTTCAGAATCTTGCTTGCATGTGAAATCAATGATATCATTCTACAGTTTCCACACTCTGTTGGGCCACCCTTCTTCAGAATGGGAACAAATATAGATCTCTTCCAGTCAGTTGGCCAAGTGGTTGTTCTCCAGATTTCTTGGCATAACTTGGTGAGCACGTCCAGGGCATCATCATCTGTTAGCTGAAGGGCCTTATTTTTTGCTATTTCCTTCAAAGCAGCTTGAACTTCTTCCTTCATCACCATAGGCCCTTGCTCATATGTGATTTCATTAAATTCTCCTGTATCTGCCAATTCCTTTCGATACAATGACTCAGTATGTTCCTGCTATTTTCTTTTAATACTTCCTGCATCATTTAATATTCTGCCTAAAGCATCCTTGATTATAGCAACTCAAGATTTAAATTTGTTCTTCAGTTCCTTGAGCTTAAAAAATGCTGAACAAGTTCGGCCCTTTTTATTTTCCAACTCTAGCTCCTTGCACATTTCATTGTAATATTTTGCTTTGCCATCCCATGCTGCCCTTTGGAATCTTCTGTTCAGCTCTTTAGTATCTTGAATTCTTCCTTGTGCTTTGGCTTCTCTGCGCTCCAGTGTAATATTCAGAGTTTCTTCTGACATCCATTTTGGTCTTTCCTTCCTCTTCTGTCTTTGTAATGATCGTCTGCACTCTTCCTGGATGATATACTTTATTTGTCATAACGTGCTGCTCTTTGATATTTTCTGTTGAGCTCCTTCATGTCTTTGATAGTAGGAGGTTAAAAACATCATATCATATGTATTTATACACAAAGCCGGCACACAGACATTTCCTTGGTGCTGCAGTTGGAATCCCCTAAAAATCTGTAATGACCTAAATGACATCATTACATATGTTAATACTAACCTGAGAAGTGCTATCTCTATTTGAAGAGTGGTCTCATTTAATAACAAAGAAAATATGAAAAGGAATAATAGGCCTAGCCATGTGCTTTAAGCTCATCATTAACCCTTCATGGTGTCTGTCTCTTCTCCTAGACTGAGTAAACTAAGTGCACCACCAGATGTTTCCTGAAAGACACCTATTGCCATCTTGATCCTGAAGCCAAGTCAATAATGTAAATAAATGAAAGAGAGGAGTAGGACATTACAGGGGAGAAGTTAAAAGGAGCAGTCGTGCTGTCACTACTCAGTGGCTTTTTTCCTCAGTGTTTCTGTAGGTAATGAGCTTATAGTTTTGTTAGGTTTTACTACTACCCATGTAGTATTTACTAGTAGGTATATTTTCTGGACGAGGCTATTCGTCGGAAAGATGGATTGACGTGGTGACTGAAGCAATGGGCTTAAGTATGTTTGATGATGAGGATGGCACAGGATAGGACAGGATTCAGATCTGTTGTTCATAGGGTCACTCTGAGTTGGACTCAGCCTGGTGACACCTAACAGCTATTGTACAACTCTGTTTTATATTTGTCCAGAAATTATTGCTTAAGACTTAGACACCTGTATTGAACAGATTTATTTCTGTATTCCTTATTTCTTTTTTTAAAAACTGGTGTATAAAGTGAAACCAGGAGAGGAGTCAACACTTCTGTTTTTCAGAAATGTTTTTGTAATTGTTTTGAGTAAAGGCAGAGGCTAGGATAAGAAGTATGTAAAAGAGAATGAAAACAACGATTTTTAAGTCCGTCCACAACTAACGAAAAGTAAAGCAGCACCTCCTTTTGCCCGTGTCCCAACATGTTGCGGTGTACACTGCTTACTTCACACAGATGTCTGTCCTGGCACACTATGTGGGGGCTGCTGGAACCTGGTCAGGGTGCACTTGGTCATTCCAGAGTTTCCGGAAGAATAGTATAAGAAGTCAGCAGAAATGCCTGGTATAATGCAGATCACTCACTAAGAGACTACCTGTGGCCCTCTCCTGTGTCAGGTGAAGCCCAGTTAAACATCAGCGCTGGGAAGTCCAAGGTTAAGGAGGGTCAATGGCAAGAAGGTTGCTCTTTAAGATGGGGACCAAGGGGCAAGACAGTAGACATAGAAGTAACAGTTCAAGAACCAGTGTGGCAGTATTACTGTGTATTAACATTTTTTATTGGAGCTCTCCTGCAGCTGTCTAGAAAACATAAGTCATGCACAGCCAGTGTTCTTTTGGGGTCAGAGTCTACCTGCTAGATGTTCAGGACAAACCTTACAGTTGAGATCATCCCCATGTTGGCTAAAAACAGGGTAACTCTGCTGAGATCTTTTGAGATCAAGCTGGTGATTCCAGTGTTTGTGCTTGTAAAGCCCCTCCCCTCATTTTCATTGTAGAAACCCACCCCACCCCCACCCCCGGTAGCCTGCTTACAGTACAGTGGGCCTCCAGCTCGCAGGAATAGACCTATGGACCCAGTTGGTGGTGGTCTCAACAGGCATTTCAGTGCTTTTATAGGTAAGCCCTGGGCTAGGTGCTGCAAGGCATCTAAGCATGAAGACACAGCCCAGGTTCATTTGCCATATGATGAAGATACAATGCATGTAATTTTGTAGGGTGGAGAACTGATGCACAGAGCCAAACAACAAGTACTCCTGAAAGGAGCACTGGAGCTGACCTGTGTATATAATTGGGCAGTTTCATTATATTAATGTGCACTGCTAAATTTGACTTGAGGGTTGGGTGTTTTCTTTCAGCACCTCATGGACCTCAGCAAAAGTGGATGTGAATGGTGTTCGTCTACACTATCAGCGCACTGGAGAGGGAGATCACGCAGTCTTGCTGCTTCCTGGACTGCTAGGTCAGAACACTTGCTGTCAGAATGTACCACAATGCTACAATGCCAAACACTGAGAGCCTTGCTGAAATGCTTTTTAAATACTATTTGTGGCAATCAAATTTATATGATTTAGCAAATTTTTTCTTCTACAAAGTGGTATGTTTGGGGTTCCCCCCTTTCTTCTTCTTCATCTTCTTCACGCTTTAACTACCTGGTGGTCCTATGCAGTGAAGCACAATTTTGTCCAATTTGGAGGATGACAAGAGTCAGAGGAAAAGAGATGCAGAAAGGTGAGGTGGATAAAAGATGCAGTGGGTAGTGTGAGCTTTCCAGAATGTTGGATTTTCAGGGCTCAGCCAGAATGAACAACTCACCTACTTGTGGTTGAATTATAACACTTTTACATGGTAATTGGGAAGGGTATATGCCAGGGATGTGTCCTATCTCCATACCTTTTCAGCCTGTATGCAGAGCAGATTATCTGAGAGGCTGGGCTCTATGGGGAGAAGTGTGGCGTCAGGAGTGGTGGAAGATCTAGTAACAATCTGCGTTATGCAGATGACACAACCTGCTTGCTGAAACTGAAGAGGACCTCATGCACTTGCTGCAGAGGGTCAAGGACTTCAATATGGACTGAAGCTCAATATCAAGAAGACAAAGATTCTCACCACTGGACCAATTGGTAGCATCAGGATGGATGGCCAAGAGATTGAGATTGTTCACAGCCTCAGTTTGCTCACCTCCACAGTCAACACTCTTGGCACCAGCATCCAGGAAATAAAAAAACATATTGTGATGGAAAAGTCTGCTGTTAGGGACCTCTCTAAAGTACTGAAGAGCAAGGATGTCTCTCTGGAGACTAAGGTGCATCTGATACAGGCCATGGTCTTTGTAATCACTTGTTATGCATCAGAGAGTTGGACAATGACTAAGGAGGATAGAAGGAGAATTGATGCCTTTGAGTGTGGTGCTGGAGAAGAGTATTGAATGTACCCTGGTCTGCCAAGAAACAAACAGATTCATCCTGGAGAGGGTTAAACCAGGCTACTCCTTAGAGGCAAGGATTCTGGGGCTTCGTCTGACATACTTTGGACATGTTGTAAGGAGAGACAGGTTCTTGGAGAGGGACATCATGCTTGGGAGGGTGGAGGGACAGCGCAGGAGGGGAACACCCTCTATGAGGTGGATTGATTGAGTGACTGGGGTAATCAGGATGGGTGTGTCAGAGGCAATGCGATTGGCACAGGATAGAGCAGGGTTTAGGGCGGTTGTACATAGGGTCGCTATGAGACGCAAACGACTCAATGGCACATAACAACAACAACAACAGGAAAAAGAGTTTACTGAAAACTTTTGAAAATCAAAGATTGACATATTCTCTTGGTTTGTAGCATAGAAAACCATCTAGGACAGTCTTGTTTTATAAGCAGTAATTTATTTTATCTTACTGAATTTTAAGGGTTTTCTAAGACTTGTTATTTCAGAAGTACATGGGAAATTGTTCTTCCTCATCTGTGTTAGTTTGAAAACTCTACTTTAGCACAGCCTCCGACAGACAAGCATTGTGCCCAGGAGAGCAGATAATAGACAAGCAAGCATATACATAGCTGAGCTATTAAGAGCAGCAACGTGCAAAGACACTTTCCAATACAAAAACTGACAAATAAATGATCTCAAGAGCAAAACATCAGGACAAGCAAACATAGAGATATAATGACACAGGTGGCAAAGATTCCCACATCAAGGCAGTCACACAAGGTCCAGAAGGATGGATAGAGGATCAGTGCAGGCGAGGAAGATCCTGGTTGAAAGGTATTGAAAGAATGACTAGCAGTGAGGTCAGGTGTTTCAGAGAAGATGAGGTTGTCTCATGACAGGGCAAAGTTCAGAGCCACTTTTTCATACTGTAACTGTGAGTCATAGTCAACCTGATGGCATATAACAACTGAACTTTAAATTTTTTCTCCCCAAGAAGGTAAATAATGTTTTTATTTGAGTGAAAGTTTCCTAATCATATTGGGTTTTCATTTAATCATTCATATAAATTGTTTTATAACATTAATTATAATTAGCATCATTTTAATGACAGAATTTTAAATGTAGAAAAATTTGGGAAAATATTTCCAGTGCTTTCAGGTTTTTAAGGGTTTTAGTATGTCTGTTTCATGTTCAGTTTAATATAAAACCCTGAAAGAAAAAAAATCACTAACCAATAATTACATACTTAGCAAAATTGACCATGAAATAATTGTCATGGATTCAGAACCACCTCTCTGGGGGCTTTCCAGCGGGTTTTCAGAGGCTGTAAATTTCAAGAGAGGAGAGTATTCCTCTTTCTGCCGTGGAGCCACTGAGAGACATTGCGGTTGTGATACAATAACTCCCTAAGGACTAGACCACCAGACCTTCCCAGGTCCCTCAATCTGATGGTGAAATTAGGGCATTTGCAGATGAACAGAAACTAAGAGAGTTTGTGAAAACAAGACCAATTTACAAGAAACCCTAAAGGGAGTTCTTTGGACCAAGAGCCAACAATGATGGACAGTAACCCAAGACTAACATACCAAAAAACATCACATACTGACCGAGACACAGAAATACACAAAGTATAATAAAGTTATAAGACTAAAAATGGAAATTAACAAGTATAGGGCTTCTAAATGGAGAAGTCAAAGAGATTAGGATAAAGTGAATTGTTTTAAATTTGGGAATAAAATAGTGCCTTATAAGGGTAACCTTAAAAAGAATGAGTACATTTCTTCAAAATGACGGAGGAAAATCATGAAGACTTAGAAAACAAGTAATAGCAAAGAAGGAAATGATTTTAAAAGCCATAGATAAATTGAACTCAGCACAGAAAAGTAGATGGAACAAAGAAATCAGTAACACCATGCACACACACACACACGCACAAGCTCTGTGAAATACTGCTTAACTAATGCAGTAAGAGGGTACTCTGCTAATAAGCTAAACAAGTCACAAAGGACTAGTGGCATGAGACCATTGTTACATACAAGAACAGTGCAAGGAAAGGCTTACATACATTCATTTCTTATGATTATTTAAATGGGAAGGGAGAGAGGAGAATAAAAATAAGGTGAAGGGAAAGGCAGTATGCAATATATTACCTTGTAATTATGTTAATTCATTAATGTTAGCAAAATTACATGAATGATCAAATGAAATTGTAATTACAATGTTATAAAAATTGCATAAATGATTGAATAAAAAGACAATATGATTTGTTAACTTTTTCTCAAGTAGAACAAAATGTAAAAATGTAATAATAAATTACAAGTTTAGGTTTCTGTTGTTTCTGTGTTCTAGCAATTCACCAAGTATTTGGAGGAAAAGAAAGTTTAACTTTTTAGGGCTTTTTTGTCCAAAAATGAACAGTGGGCTTTCATTCTTTGGCCCTACCCAAAGAACCCATGTCCCGTTCCGCAGGCAGCCAGTGCTGGTTTTATCTTCTCAGGTGGCATAGATTGGTGACCAGCTACATCTAGCCCTTAAGTGTTGCCTTCACTTTTAATATTCCTAGCAATATATTCTTGGTCTTTGTGTATGCCAGAAAGCAGATATCTCACTATTTTTTAAACTGAGGTTAAATTGGACCCTCTGTTTTCCCACCTCTTACTTCTACCCCTCCTCCAAAACATTTCAGACTCGTGGGCAGGACAAGAGCCACTGTCACTGTCTCATTGCCTCTAGGACCACAGGAAGCCACATTGTGAGCTTGGACCCTACTTGGTTGATTTGGTTTTGGTTTTTAAATTGATTTCCTGATCCTGAGAAAGGTCTATCTAGAGTTGATGAACTTTGTTAATGATCCTGTCCCATCTCAAAAGGCACTTTCTAATATAATTAGTTTACTACGAGCTATGGTCCAATTCTTATTTGCCCCTAGATCTGAGTTCCTGGAACTCTTGACTGTCCCACCATGTACAGTAGGTCTGGAGAGAGCAGCACAGCCTGAAAGCTTTTGGGTGTGCACAGTATGTGTGACTGTGTGAATCTCTAGGGAGGCCCACCACCAGCTCAAGAGTATAGTTTTAAACACTGTTCTGTACTCTCTTGACAAAACAGACTAATCGGACATCTCTCCTTGCTATATTGTTTTAGTTTTGTTTTTTTAACTATAGACAGAAAAATTCAAGACTATTTCCATTGACCTACTTAAATACATCTGGAATTATATAATTCTGCTTTGCATAGCTGGGCCAAATTACATCAGTTTCTCTATATTTGTTAATTACTGATCTGTCTCTTACTTGTAGTCATTTTAAAATAGAGGAAGATGGCTTAGAAGTTTATCTGTATATCTATTTCTATGTATACTTATTCATTTTTAAAAGCAAGCAAAACATACAGAAAGATGAAAGTAAAGACCTGTTCAGCAAGGCCTTCTGCCCTTCTTAAAATGCCACTGAGTGGAGACAGGAGGCCAGCAAAGGAAGACACCTCCTCCCAGCCATCAGCTCATCTTGGCAAGCCTGCTTTCCTGCTGACATTTTGAAGATTGACTTAGATGAGAGGCTAGTTACCTGGTTTTAAGAACATTATTGTTTCTGTTTTTACTGTACTGTGTCTGGTTGTGTAGCCTAAAGGGAGTTGTGATGCTCACTCAAAAGCGGAGCCTCTCTGGTAGTTTGAATACAGCTGTTCTGTGGGAGAAAGATGAGCAATGTGCAATCTCTGCTTGTGTGATTCACAACCTTGGAAAACCCTCTGGAAGGGTCAGTTATGAGTCGGTTCTCACTCTACACCAATGACTTTTTGACAATTTGCGTTCACAATAATGAAAGTATTGATGGATTATTTCTAGGAAGTGGAGAGACTGATTTTGAACCTCAGCTTAAGAAGCTGAATAAGAAGCGTTTCACTTTGGTTGCCTGGGAACCTCGAGGCTATGGACATTCCAGACCTCCAGATCGAGACTTCCCAGTGACTTTTTATGAAAGGGATGCCAAAGATGCTGTTGATTTGATGAAGGTAGGTCCTAGGGAAGGGACTGGGGGGAGGCTGGCAGGCATGTCGTCCTTTTTTTTGTTCCATGTTTGCTGTCTACAAAAATAATACAACATTTCCCATTTTTTTTCTCATTGTCATCAATTTGGAACTGACACATAACTAACCCTCCATTGGCTTTCTAGCACTGTATAGCACATGGGAGGAGATTGCTCAATTTTTCTTCCAGAGAGCCACCAGTAGAGTGGAACCGTCAGAGAGGAACAGCCTTTGGGATAGCAGCACAGCTTCGTATGGACTAGGCTCCTGTGTTTCTTATAGGAAACTTGAAAAATTCATGTAGGTATAAAACAAAACAGTAGACGTTTCCTTCAGTCTTGTAATAGATATGGTTAACACTCCTAAGACTCTGAGCCTCTGCTTTGCAGACCTTTCTTATGCATGTGCAAATAGAGTTTTATCTTGGTGGTGAAGAGCACTAAATATTCCATGGACTTCCAAAAGAACAAACTAGGCTGACTTAGTGAAAGTGCAACCAGGGTGCTCCTCAGAGGTTAGGATGGTGAAACTTCATATCATTCTTTGGGCACGATGTTGTCAGGAGGTGCCATATCCTTGGAAAAAGATGGGAAAGGTAGTTAGTAAGAAGTAGACCCTCAAGGAGATGCATTGACACAGTGACTGTAATACTGGGCTCCAGCCCGTCAGAGAGATCATGAGGATGGTGCAGAAAAGGACAAGGTTCTGCTCTGTTGTTCAAAGGGCCGCTGAGAGTTTGGTGAGTCAATAACACCTAACAACAGCAGCATATGGATGGCATTGTACCATGCATGTTTTTCCAGCCTACTAATTTTATTGAAGAGACTTAGTAATGTAGTGTTACCTTCTGAACTGATCAACAGAAGTCAGTGGTTCATATCTACCAACTATTTCTTAAAGGAAAGATAAGGCAGTCTCCTACAGTAGAGATTTAGAGCCTTGGAAACCTGATCGAGGGGCTCCAGTGAATTAGAATACACTCAATGATAGTGGGTTTTGGTATCTTCACTGAACAATTTGCTAAGGAGATACTCTCAAGTCAATAAATACATGTTTACATCAGCCTTCTAATGGATGCCTGTATTCACTTGCATGGATGTGCTACAGTGTTTTAATTCACCTAGCTCTTGAGAGTTGTTGCTATATGCCATCAAGTTGGCCTGTGACTCATAGTCACCCTAAGTACAATAGCTCTGAACCCTGCCCTGTACTGAACCCATTTCACTATCTCCAATGTATCTACTTCCCTTACCCCAGTTACTGTGTTATTCTATATCATCTGGTAGATGAATAATTTTTTTTTCTTTCAGTGTATCTATTTTGTTATGAGCCTTCTTAAGAGCAGTGGCCATTGCCATCTGTTGACTTTACCTGTTTCCATTTTATTTCATTTATAAACAGTGCTTTGTAGACCTCCTGAACATAAGTTCCAGTGTACATGTAGGAGAGTTTGTAGAAGTTAGAAAGTGACTCACTAGATTTAGTATCTAGTTGCACAAGATAATGCCAAGTTATTATTCATGGTAGTAATGTCAGTGTAAGCAAGATCCTGCTGAAGATTATCCAGAAATGATGTGCCAATGTGAAGGCTGAGTTTAGAAGAGGTTCTGACACTAGGAACATCATAGCCAATGTTAGATGGATCTTGGCTAAAAGCAGAGCACCAGAGGAATGTCTGTGTTCACTGATTATGCAAAGGCATTTGACTGGATGGATCACAATGAATTGTGGCTAACCTTGAGAAGAATGAGAATCCTAGAACACTTAATTGTGCTCATGCAAATCCTATACTTGGTCCAGAAAGCAGTAGTCAGAACAGAGCCGGGAAATACTGCATGGTTCAGGATCAGGAGAAGTGTGCAAAAGGGATGCATATCTTTTCAGTTTACTTGCAGAATAGATCATTTCGGAGGGTGGGCTTTATGAGGAGGAATATGGCATCAGGATTGGAGGAAGATTCATCAACAACCTGCATTATACAAATGACACAACCTTGCTTGCTGAAAATGAGAAGGACCTGAGGTATTTGCTGCACAAGGTCAGTATGGATTGAAGCTCAATATCAAGAAAACAATGATTCTCATCACTTAGTCAATTGACAGCTTCATTTTAGCTGGAGAGGAAATTGGGATTGTTAATAACTTCAGTTACTTGGTTCAACAATCAGCACTAGCAGTCAGGAATTTAAAAGATGGGTTTCATTGGGAAGTCTACTGTCAGGGACCTCTAGAGTAATGACATCAGTCTGGAGACTAAGGTGCACTGGATCCAGACCATAGTCTTTGTAGTTGCTTGCTAAGCATCAGAGAGCTGAACAATGACTAAGGATTACAGAAGAAGGATTGATGCTTTCCAGCTGTGCTGGAAAAGAGCCTTGAACATAATACCATGGGCTGCCAGGAGAATAAACAGGTCTATCCTGAAGAAGGTGAAATCAAGCTGCTCCGTGGAGGCAAGGATTTTGAGACTCCCTCTCCTATACATTGGGCACATGGCCAGGAGGGACCAGGGTCCTTGGAGAAGGACATCATGCTTGGAATGGTGGAGGAACAGTGCAGGAGAGGAAGACACAGGATGAGATGGATTGCCTCAGTGACTGAAGAAATGGGATTAGGTCTGTTGGAGATGATGAGATTGGCTCAGGATAGAGCAGGGTTCAGTGCTATTATACATAGGATTGCTGTGAGTCACATATCACTCAACAGCACATAATAACAATGCCAGTTTATACTTTATCAGCAATGAGTTGTGCTGCTAACCCAAAAGTAGGTAATTTAAATCTACCAGCTAAGGGAGAAAATTGGGCAGTCTCTTCTCATCTGATTTGTTGTTGTTGTTGTTTGATGCCGTCGAGTCGTAGACGATTCATAGCGACCCTATGAACGAACAGCCTGAGCACTGTTCGTACATAGAGTATCTGGAGGCAAGCCATTTCGGAAGTGGATGCCGCTCCTGCTTCCAGGCTTGATTTAGTTGGGAAGCTCCAGCCAACACTGTCCACCATGGGTACCCATTACCACGATTGGCACATCACTGTCACAGTCTTCAGCATCACAGCAACCACGAGTTACTTCTGTACAGCAATGTACAGACCAGTGCTATTCCACCTAGAAGAATGTTTGATAGGAAAACAATTTGAACCTGGTCGAGGTTCATCTGATTTACAGCCTCTGAAAACCAGAGTCAACAATGAGTTGTTTCCAACTCGATGGTAATGAGTTAGGTTGAATCTGAGTTACCATCATTTTCACCTATATTTTCTTTTTACTTCTAAGCAGGATCTCAAATTTAATCTTTGTTCATTGTACCTACTCTAGTTGATTCAGACTTAGGGTGAATCATGCGCTTGCATGACCTCCTCCTGATACCATTGTCTTCCAGTTTTTTTCTAGTCAGTACTTCCTGCAATTGTAATCAGTAGAGTGAGCAGACGCAGCTACTTTATTCCCTGCAGCAAGTCTCAAACCCTCTCTCTAATCTACAGAATAATTTACTTGCATGCTGCCAGACTGTTCTCAAAGTCATAGCACAAGTAAGCACATGCACACACAGAGGTTACACACTGTGTTTATCTTATCCGTGTACACCTGATCTCCACTGTTTCTAGTTTCCAGAGATTCTGTTCAGCCAGATGTCATCATTTAATAGTTCAGATCAATGGTTTGTACTCAGAGTTTTATGACCCCGTTATTGTGAGCATGGCAGACTCTGGGGCTTTTCTTTGTGCATTTTGTTGCTTTTGTCACAGACACTGAAGTTTCCGAAGATTTCTCTTCTGGGATGGAGTGGTGGTGGGATAACGGCACTTGTTGCAGCTGCAAAATACCCATCTTACATCAACCAGATGGTGATTTGGGGGGCCAGTTCCTATGTCACTGATGAGGATGAAAGGATTTACCAGGGTAGGTTTAAGAACTGGACATGGCTTAACAGCCACACTTCCCTTTCCTTCTCCCACCCCATGTTTTCTATGAGAGAACAGATAAATCACATCTCTTTTTTTTCTTTTATTATTTTTGTGTGAGTGTACCGTCAAATCAGATCTGACTGGTACAGGAGGAGATTGTCCCTCCTTTCCCGGCAGAGCATCTGGTGAATTCGAACCGTGCGCCTCTGGGATTGTAGTTGCAGCTCCTTGCCACTAGGCCACCAGAGCTCCCCTATAAATCACATCTCTTAAACTTTCAGTTCTCAACTCTACAAGGGGAAGAATAATGATTCTTAGAACTATGCAGCTTAACCAGTCTGTGCTTTAAAGTTTTTTCTTCCTAGAAATGAAAATTTATGACTCAGGAAAAGACTATGAGAGACAAATGGAAAATAATGTTATAATGTGAAAGGGAATATGATTTTCCAGTATGGCACTTTCAGTTCAAAGAATTTCTTTTCCATTTTCATTTTTAAATTATTGAGGGATTATTTATAGATCAAATTGGTTTTCCATTGAGTTATTAATACACATTTTGTTTTAGGATGTTAATCGTATTACCTACTTTGTAACTATACCCTTGCAAGCATTTTTTGTTTGGTATCTTAATAAAGACTACTGTTTTTGCTCAGATGAGGTGATAGCTGATTGTTATGATTTGCGTCTCTCTGGGAATGAATAATCTTTATGTATGTATGTATGTATTTATTTTATACTGGCTTATTTGCAAAGTTCATATACATTGTTTTTCACTCTGTATCTTTCCTATTTCCTTCACCCCCTAACTACTGATCTGGAACATTTTTTTCATCTGTTTGTTTCTTTTTGTTTTTGCCATCTAAATGTCATCTTTGGTGAAATGTCTATGATAATATCTACTTATTTTGTGATTTTTTTTAATTCAAGTGTTGAAGTTGTCTATAAATTTTAGCAATGAATCTCATTTCACATATGTAATTGACAAATTTATTTTTTTTTTTCATTCTCTAGGTTCTCTCTTTACTCTTCTGGAGAACTCTTTAAAGTAAATGAAGATTTAAATTTTAGAAGGTTTCAGTTATCTAATTTATCCTCTATAGATTGCATGTCCATTATATATGATACTCTGTTTAAGCTGTAGCTGAGGACTCCCAAGTTTGCCCCAGTTTTTTCTTAGATGACCATTATAGTTTTAGTTTTTACTCTGAGGTCCTTGATCCATCTTGAGTTAATTTTTATGTATGGTGTCAAGTGTAATTCCATTAACCTATATGTTTGTTTTTGCCCCAGTACCAGGCTCTTTCGACTACCATGGTTGTGTGATAGGTTTTGATATTGAGAAGTATGAGACCTCTTGATTTGCTCAGTTGTTGTTGTTACATACTGTTGTGCTGAATACTAACTGATAGTAAGCTGAGGAACAACAGATCTGAACCCTGCTCTATCCTGTGCCATCTCTCTCACTTCCTGACACACTAGAGCCCATTGCAGCAGTCATTGTGTCTCTACCTGGTTGAATCTTCCTCTCATTTGCTGACTCTCTGCCTTTCCAAGTATAATGTACGTTTCCAAGGAATAGGCTCTCCTAGCAACATACCTGAAGTGTGTGAGGTGAAGCTTTACTGTCTTTGCCTCCAAGGAGTATTCTTGCTAGTTTCTTCAAGACTTACTTGTTTGTTCTTTTGGCACTCTTTTGGGATGTTCAGTGCTCTTCTCCAACACCACAGTTCAAAGGCATCAATTCTTTCTGATATCCTAATTCATTGACCAGCTCTCAGATGTCTAGCAAGTGATCAATAAGACAGTGGCCTCAATCAGATGCTCCTCACACTGACATCATTGTTCCTCACTAATTTGGAGAGGTCCCTGACTGCAGACTTTCTCAGTGCAATATATCTTCTCTACTGATATCCTGATGCCTGGAATTAAGGGTGATGATTGTGGATCCAAGTAAGGTGAAGTTATTGACAGTTTATCTTTTCTCCATCTATCATGATGTTGCCTGTAAGTCCAGTAGTAAGAATTTTTGTTTTCTTTCACCTTCTTTAGGACGAACCTGTTTGTTCTCCTGGCAGTCCATCATATATTCAATACTCTTCTTCAGCATCACAGCTCAAAGTCATCAATTATTTTTCTATCACTCCTAGTCATTGTCCAGCTTTCTGACACATAGCAAGCAATTGCAAAGACTGTGGGCTGGATCAGACAAACCTTAGTCTCCAGACTGACATCATTGATCTTCAGCACTCCAGAGAGGTCTCTGACAGCAGACTTTCCCAATGCAAAGAATAAATCATTGATTGCACAGAATTCTATTATTCTAATCTCCAGATTCATTTCTAGCACCACATCCATGTTTTCCAACTACTGATCGTTCCTCTGTTCCCAACTTTTCCATTCCAGTCACTCATTATTATAAATGCATCTTTATTTTGCATGTTCAATCAATTTCTGACTGCAAACGTTTGCAGAAATCTTCAATTTCCTCCTTTTTGGCTGTAGTTCTTGGTGCATATATTTGAATGATAGTGGAATTCACTGGACTTACTTGTTTGTATATGGACATTATCCTGCAACATTGTATTTCAAGATGAATCTAGAAATTACTTTGTAACTATGAAAGCAACCCTATTTTTCCTCACCTTTTCATCTCTAGCATAGTAGATCATATAATCATCTGATTCAAAATTTTCCATGGGCATTATTTTATTAGAGAGCTTTAGTTGTAGGTAGTTGCACTAACACAAAGGCAGGCTTTTCAAGAAAAATATTTCCTCCCATATGACTTATAGAAATCTACCTGTGATCAGCAGAGATGACAGCTACATTCAGAAAGCAACCCAAACAAAGAATTATGCAAACTCAGACAAAATCACAAGTGCAAAAATAGGGAATTTGAGACACAAATCAGTAAACAAGGACAAAGGAAAACAAAATGTGGGACTAAACACTACAGTTACATAACTTCCAAATAGAGAGGAAATCAAGGTTATTTCAAAATGAAGGGACTGTTTTAAACTTGGAAACAACACATTAAATTACAGTGTACCTCAAAGATGATTTTACTTTCATTTATTGAAAAACAGGAAATCATAAAGATTTAATAAACACTAAAAAATATATGCAACAAATAAATCGGCAATATTTTTTAAAGGGAGCAAAATAACAGGAATAATATGGAACTCAGCCTATTTTTAAGTTGAAACCGACTAAAAACAGATTTTTCTATGGGTTTTAAAGGCTATAAATTATACATGAGGAGACTGTCTTAAGGACTTTCCTTTGATCTAGTTTTTACAAATACTGTTAATTTCTGTTCTTGATGGGTAGCTATGTCCTACCACTACACAGTACCTAGACTGGTGACATCCTGCACTTTGGTGGCCTTTGGCCTTGTCAGGCACAATGGTCATGAAATTTCAGTCTGTAGGCTGGCAACTCAATGAGTCATTCCACCTTCAGCCTGGTTCTTAATTGAGATCTCTGGGCTCTTTGAGAAGAGAGAATTGTGTGCTCCAGTATATGGGTGTCACTAGAGTAGAAAGTAAAACTGACAGGAACCACTACAAACCCCCTACCTGTCCTAGCTCACAAACTGACTTCCCTTCAGGCCAGTGGGTTTATCCTCAAATCTTTTTCTAGTGGAAAGCAGCCTCAAACACCCCATCCAAGATAATTAGGGCCAAGCTGGACAGAAGCTTCCCTCACTGTATTTTACTTTTTGCATGGAAAGCATGACATATTTTGTTTAGTCCTTTATATTTTAAGTTTGTACTTAGATTTTTACCCAGAGTGCTGTGGATGCCTGTATTAGAAAAGCACAAATTAGGGACTTCTGGTCCAGTAGTCTATCGGGAATTGTGTTACTAACCTAGAGGCAGTACCTTCTGGTGGTTCAAATCCACCAGCAGCTCTGCAGGAGGAAAAGAAATAATCTTCTCTTGTGTGATTTACAGCCTCTGAAAACCTTCTGAAGGGTCAACTGTGAATTGATTTCAACTCAATAGCAATGAGTTTGAGCTTTTGTGGGGGTTTTTCTGAGTCCTTTTTAGGGGTTTTATAGCTTGGATGAATTAAATAAGCTGTTTAATAGTAATATTCTAATCTACAGCATTATGATAGATGGAGAAATAATTGAAGCTTCCAATAATTTCATCTTGCTTGGATCAATAGTCAACACCCTTGGTATCAAAAGTCAGGAGATCAGAAGATACATTGCACTGTGCAAGTCTGCTAGCAGGGACCTCTCCAAAATGCTGAAGAGTTTGAAGACTAAGATGTGTCTGATTCATGCTACAGTCTTTTTTTTTAATCACTTGCTGTGCATCTGAGATCTAGACAATGAATAAGGTTGACGAAGAATTGTTGCCTTCTTTAATTGAAGGATCACTAACAATAATTGTTGATTTTTGAATCCAAGTGAAATTAAATTCTCAAAAACATAATTTTTTTTTCTCCATCTGTCATGATGGAGACAAGGTACAGAGAAAGGAAACCACCCTAACACACCATTCCTGGCCTCATCTTACTGCTAGAACAATAGGCAACATCATGGTAGATGGAAAAAATATTGAAACTGTCAACGACTTCATCTTAGCTGGCTCCACAATCAATACACATGATACCAGCAGTCAGGAGACTTAGTGCATTGGGAACATCTGCAGTCAGAGACCTCTCCAAATTACTGAGGAGTAATGATATCATATTAAGTACTAAGGTGCACCTGATTCAGGCTGTCTTTTCAATCACTTGATATGCATCTGAGAGCTGAACAATGGATAAGCATAACAGAAGAATTGATGGCTTTGTACTCTAAAGTTAGAAAAATATTGAATATCTAATGGTGTTGATGAAGGAGCAAGTTCAGGCTTCTCTGAAGGACTTGGCAAAAAAATAAAGCCCTAGGAATTGATGGAATACCAGTTGAAATATTTTAGCAAAGAGATGCTTCCTTGGATCTGCTCACCAGGTTGTGCCAAGAAATCCATAGGACAATTACCTGACCAACACACTGCAACAGGTCCATATTTATTCCTATTTAAAAAAAAAGTGACCCAACAGAGTGTGGAAATTATCAAACAGTATCACTGAAGTCTTCAATATGGATTGAGGCTCAACATCAAGAAAACAATGATTCTCACCTCAGGGCCAATTGGCAGCATCATGATACATGGTGAAAAGACTGAGGTTGTTAACAGAATTAGCTTGCTTGGCTCTATAATAAACACTTTTAGTACCAGCAGCCAGGAAATTAAAAGATGAATTGCATTGGGAAAGTCTGCTGTCAGAGACCTCTTCAAAGTACTGAAGAGCAATGATGTCAGTTTGGAGACTGAGGTGTGCCTGATCCAGGCCATAGTCTTTGCAGTCACTTGCTATGTTTCAGAGAGCTGGACATTGACTAGGGATGATAGAGGGAGAGTTGATGCCTTTGAACTGTGGTGCTGGAGAAGAGTATTGGATATACCATGGACTGCTAGGAGAGCAAACAGGTTTGTCCTAGAGAAGGTGAGACCAGGCTGCTCCTTGGAGGCAAGGAATCTGAAGCTCTGACTGCTCGGGAAGGTGAAGGGACAGTGCAAGAGAGGAAGACCCTTGATGAGATGGATTGATTCAGTGACTGGGATAATAAGGGTAGGGGTGTCAGAGACAATAAGTTGGCACAGGATAGAGCAGGGTTTAGGGCTTGTTGTATATAGGATCACTATGAGTCACAGGCAACTCGATGGCACACAACAACATCATCAGTAATACCACACAGTAGCAAAATCCTGCTGAAAATTGTCCACAAAAGACTGGAACAGTACATTAACAGAGGACTACCAGAAATACAAGGTGGGCTTAGAAGAGGTCTTGGTATTAAGAGACATTATAGCCAATGCCAGATAGATGTTGGCAGAAAACAAAGAGTACCAAAGAAATGTCTGTGTTTCATTGGCTATAAAAGGCATTTGACTGTGTGAATCCCAACAAATTGTGGCTAACCAAAAGGAACATGGGAATCCCAGAACACCTGGTTTTCCTTATTGGGCAAAACCTATACTTGGACCAGCAATCAGTCCTCAGAACAGAGCAGGGAAACACTGTATGGTTCAGAATCAGGAAATGAGTGTATCAGGGATGCATCCTGTCTCCATACCTTTTTTTAATGCAGACTCTAATACAGAACAGATCATTTGGTAAGCAAAGCTTTATGAGGAGGAATGTGGTATCAGGTTTGGAGGAAGACTCATCAACAACTTACATTATGCAGATGACACAACACTGCTTTGCTGAAACTGAAGAGGACCTGAAATGCTTGCTGCAGAAGACTGTGATCTTCAATATGGATTGAAGCTTAACATAAAAAAATAAAAACAGATTCTCACCACTGGGCTAATTAACAACATCATGATAGATGGTGAAGAGACTGAGATTGTTAACAGCTTTAGTTTGCTTAGCTCCACAATCAACACTCTTGGTACCAGCATCCAGGAAGTCAAAAGACTAATCCATTGGGAAAGTCTGCAATCAGGGACCGCCCGAGAGTATTGAAAAGCAATGATGTCAGTCTGGAGACTAGGCCATAATATTCTCAGTTACTCGCTATACATCAGAAAGCTGGACAATGTCAAGGGGTGATAGAGAATAGATGCCTTTGAGCTGTGATACTGGAGAAGAGTATTGAGTATACCATGAACTGCTTAGGAGAACAAAAAGGTTTGCCTGGAGAGGGTGAAATCAGGCTACTCCTTGAAGACAAGAATTCTGAAGCTTTGTCTGACATGCCTTAGGTAGTTGCAAGGAGGAACCAGTCCTTGAAGAGGGACATGTTGTTTGGAAGGGTGGAGGGACAGTGCAAGAGAGAAAGACCCTTGATCAGATGGATTGACTCAGTGAGTAGGGTAATGGGGGTAGATTTGTCAAGGACAATAAGGTTGGCACAGGATAGAGCAGATTTCAGGGCTGTTGTACATAAGGTCGCTATGAGTTGCAAGCGACTTGGGGGCATATAACAACAATGACAAGAATTGTTACATATACTATGCATAGATTGTGATACCCTTGAGATACAGAACCAAGAATAAACAAGCAAAACTAACCTCATTTCCATAGATTCAATCCCAATTAATGACAATCCTATATGATACAGTTTGGAAGCAGGAGCAGCATCCACTTCCATAATAGCTTGCCTCCGGAAACCCTATGAACCTGGAGAGAGGATGAGAGACACACAAGTGTTGAGGAGTCTCCTTCATAGGGTCGCTATGAGTCACCTGCGACTCGACGGCACTTAACAACAACATATGATACAGAGAAGTGTTCCATAGGATTTTCTTGGCTGTAATCTTTTTATTTTGCATATTTTGAGTAGGTTATGTTCTTTTTTTAAAAAAATGGTGATTTTAATGAAACTTTACAACACAAATTACTTTTTCATTCAGCCATTTATTTACAATATGTTTTATAATTTTTAAACTTTAATCCAAAAATATTTTCTAAATTTCTGGACTGAACAATAGTTTAGGTAAACTAATGAAAAAGGTCCACCATGAGCATACTGCTCTTTTAAGAACTATTAATAGGGGCTCAAAGGGACAACAGCTACTCAGAAGATTAGTAGATAAGAGTAAATTTATGCCAGTGGAGGAAGAAACACTTAGAAAAGGAAGGTAAGAATATTCCACAGATTGGGTATATTCACACAATGGAATACTACACTGCATTGAAAAACAAGGAACTCATGAAATATTATTCAAAATGGGTGACCCTGGAGAACATTACACTGAGTGAAATATCTCAGACACAAAAGGACAAATACTACATAGTGCCACTGTTGTAAAACGGGATCGGCATTGGGGTTGGAGGGAGACAGAGAAATATGGGATAAATGCTGTGTACTGAATTGAAACAGGTAAGAGAGAAAACTGTTTAAAAGGAATATATGATTAGTTATTATTGTTATGACAGGAGTCCAGAATGAAGGCTGCATAGTGGAGTGGACTTGGGGGGGCTCTTCTACTTTTCAAGGAGGAGAACAAACTGGAGGGAGGAGTGGGCAGGGAGAAAAACACAACAATGAATCAATGGAAATCCAAAATCTCTCTAAATTTTCATTAAAATTAATAATAATAAAAAGAAGAAGATATAACTAAAAAAAAAGTATTCCACACCTTGAAGAATGTAATCTGGGCCACTCAATTGTGCTTGTCAAAACAACTAGTATATGTTTATTTAAAATAAATTTTTAAAAAGAGTTCATTTTTAGCTATTGCTATTATTCCTAACTGCTAATCATCTGTAATACAGTTAGAAGTTAGTAGTTTTGGGTACTTTCTCTGTATATAAACTAATCTGAGTAGCAGAATAAGTAGAAGAGATGTATATTACATTATTGTCGTTCTTAGTAAGGTGAATCTAGTCAGAGGAATATTTTGTTTTGTTTTATACATTTTACAGATAAACATCCACTGCAGGTCACCTGCCATTCAGTTAATATGTATTTATTTGATGCTCCTTTTGTACCAGGCTTTTGTTCTGGTGAGGATGCATGGGCAAAGCAATGTCCCTACCCTTTGGTGCCTATTAGGGCAACAGATCACTCCTGGAGTACTGGGAATGCAATGGGGCAGAATTGATGGGTGGAGGGTCGTGTATTTGAGTGGTGCTTTTGTAGGAAACTGGTAGGGTAGGCCTCTGCGGTAAGAGAGCAGAAACCTGCGTTTGGAAAGGAATAAGCCATGAGTATGAGGGAAGCATTACAGCAGACACAACAGCATGTATAAAGGCTGAAGAGTACAGGGTGGGAGTGTTGAGAGACTGTAACCCAGTAAGAGACAACATGTACCATTGTCTCCCATTCTGTTCTTCAGGAATCCGAGACATTTCTAAATGGAGTGAAAGAACAAGAAAATCATTAGAAGCCCTTTATGGATATGACTACCTTGCTCAAACCTGTGAAAAGTGGATGGATGGTGTTCTCCAGTTCAAGCATCTGCAAGATGGTAGGACTTTGGAGTCAGACAAACATGAGTTTGAAGGCTTCTTTTGCCATTTGCTTTTCGTTAGACTGACTTTGAATATATTACATAGCTTCATAAAGCTGCTCTTTCTCTGTAAGCTGGAGAGAAAAGATACCTATCTCATAAAGTTCCTGTGTGAATGTGAATGCTGAGGCTTATTCCCCAAAGGGAAGATTCGTCAAGGTTTGTGTTCACAATCAGACTGAAAAACTGACCTGGAGACAAACTATTGGGACAGGAAATTTACTGTCCAGGAGGCCTTACAGATGCACAACTCCAGTGATGGCTAGCCTGAAAATTACCACTGAAGACGGGAGGAAGCAGCTAATTTCTTCACAAACAACCACAAACATGAAGCTAAGAATTACATAGATTGAAGGGAAAATGTTAGCAGTACATATGCTCAATTTAAGGGAAAAAACGACTAAAAGGGGGAATGGTTAGTTTCCTTTAATTCTAGGAAGAAATTAGAAAATCAAATATACTAAATAGCTTAAGTATAGTCATTTGGGGGACATTTGTAGGATTTACCATACAGTGAATTAAATGGGGAAATATGTTTAACTTTAGCACAATGCCAAATATAACTAGTGCTTAATAAGAGGCTGATAGTAGCATAGCCCTAGTGACACAAGGAGCTGTGCTGTAATCCTGCAGGCACGTGGTTTGAGGCCACCAGCTTCTCCATGAGAGGATGGGCAGTCTCCTTCTATGCTATTAACTGTCTCTTAAAACCCTTTGGAGGATCCTCTGTGGGTTCTGACTCTGTGGTACACAACAACAACAGTACATTACTTTTGGGACTGCTAACAAAAGGTTGTTCATTCAAACAAGCTTTTTCACAGAAGATAGGCAGTCTCCTTCCATAAAAATTTAGTCTCAGAAACCTAAGTTAATCATAAGTCAGAATCAACTCAACATTAGTAGGTTGTTTGTGTGTGTGTGTGTGTGTGTGTGTGAGAGAGAGAGAGAGAGAGAGAGAGATTATTATTGCAATTAGTGAATTAGTGAATCAGCACATACTAACTACTGTATTCTGCTGGAGAAGAATGCTGAATATCCCATGGGCTACCAGCAGAACAAATGTCTTAGAAAAAAAATGCAACCAAGGTGCTCCTGAGAGACAAGGATGGTGAAACTTTGTCTCGTATACCATGGGCATGTTGTTAAGAGGGGCTAGTCCTTAGAAATAGACATTATGCTTAGGTCAGTCAAAGAGAGTAAAACCCTCAACAAGATGGATTAACATAGTGACTGAAACAATGTGATCAAGTATATCATACTGAGGGATGGCACAGAATAGGGCAGTGTTCAGATCCATTGTTCATCGGGTCATTATTGTTGTTGTTAAGTTGTTGTTAAGTGCTGTCAAGTCGCAGGCAGCTCATGGCTACCCTATGAATGAAAGTCCTGGACACTTCCTGTATAACTTTCATCCTTTCTCCAGGTTCATAGGGTTTCCAGAGGCAAGCTGTTGTGGAAGTGGATGACACTCCTGCTTCCAATGAGTCATTATTAGTGGTAATCAATTCCAGTGCAACCACTGCTGTAATTATTTGACAGTATTGGATTGCTTAACTTACTCCTAACACAAAATGAATGCCTAATAATCCTGGCTTTAAATCATCATTATCATCATATAATGGATAGTGCGTGTCATCCAGAGACAGAAGGGGAAGCATCAGACATCTAGAGAAGCCTGCCTACTCAAGGTACCACCTGTCATTTAGCAGTTACTGCCAACCCAGAGGAACACAGTTTGAATCAATCACTTGCTCCAAAGAAGAAAGATGGATAGTCTTCCATGCAGCTTGTTGCCTCTGAATGTCCACTAGAGGGTCAGCTGTCAGTCAGTTCCTACTGAATGGTATCAACACCACCATCCCCAACCACAGCTGAGAAAGGTACAGAGCTGTGCCTGGGCGGGACTACTGAAGAAGGAAGGAGGAAAACTGATCTAGTTTCAGTACCTGCTATATGCCAGGAGCCTGGGCATCTCTCTTCAACCTCTTGACTATCTCTGACTGAGAGGAGGCCAAGGGTCAATGTGGTTAAGGAGTAGGCAAGAGATGACAGTGCAGATCCAGAGTCCAGGTTTCATACCTTCAAACACTGTGCCCTTTGTATACTACCCTATTTGTCTTGGAAATATAAGTGGTGACTAAGTCCTTGTAGTCATGCAAAATCATGTTCATCTGGAAGGTAATGGGAATACTGTGGGTGCTGTTTTATCCTGTATAAATTGCAACTTGAGAATGAGGTGTATAAACTTTGGAGGACTGACAGGAACCCAGTTACCACTTAAGATTCTATCATAAAGAAAAAGAGAAAAAAAATTTTTCAAATGCCGTCATCATTCTCTATACTTCTATGTAATGCAAAAAGTTATACATTTTTGGCGAGCTCTGGTGGCCTAGTAGCAAGAAGTTGCACTGCAATCTCAGAGGTGCACGTTTCAAATCCACCAGATGCTCTGCTGGAAAAGGAGGAACAATCTCCTCCTGTACCAGTCAGATCTGATTTGATGGTACACACAAGAAATAATGAAAAAAAACTAAAAAAATTTAAAAAAAGGAAAAGGAAACTGTGACATCTAATTTACAAAAAAAAAGTTACACATTTTTTTGTTTGTCTACTTTCCATACTACTGTACATGTATCTAAGTTTTAGTGGTAAGAAGCTGTGCTACCATCCTAAAGGCATGTGATTCAAATCCAGATGCTCTGCAGAAGGCTGGGCAATCTTTTCCAATCCAGAGTATGATTAACTGTCTCTGAAGTTCCACTGGAGGGTCAGCTATGGGTCAGTTCCAGTTCAATGACACACATTAACCACAAGAAAAATAAGGCAAGTATATTGACTGTTGTTGTTAGGTGCCATAGACTTTACAGTTCATAGCAATTCTATGAGCAGCAGAGCAAAATCCTATCTTCTCCTTTGCCATCCTTATAATTTCTGGTGTACTTGAGCTCATTGAAGAAATTGTGGCAATCCATCTGGTTGAGTAGCTTCCTTTCATTCCATGATGTCCCTCCCCAAGGAATAGCCTCTTTTTATAGCCTGCACAAAGGATGAGAGACGAAGTTTTGTCATCTTTGCATCATCTGGCTGCACTTTCTTCAAGACATACTTGTTTGTTCTTTTGGCAGTCCATGGGATATTCAGTACTCTTCTCCAACAGCATGTCTCAAAGACATCAGTTACTCTTTTGCCATCCTTATCCATTGTCCAGCTCTTAAATGCATAGCAATTGGCCTGAATCTGAGGTGCACTTTATTCCTCATATTAACATTATTGATCCTCAGTAATATAGAGAAGTCCCTGACTGCGGATTTCCCCAGTGCAATACATCTGATCTCATGACTGCTGGTACCAAAGGGGTTGATTGTGGATCCAAGTAAGATAAATGACAATTTCAATCTTTTCTCCATCTATCATGATGTTGCCTATCAATCCAGTAGTGAGGCTCTTTGTCTCCTTGCTGTTAAGATGTAATCTATATTGAAGGCTGGAGTGTCATCTTTTGCAGCAAATACTTAAAGTCATCCTGACTTTTAGCAAGCAAGGTGGTGCGATCTGCATAGCACAGGTTGTTGATGAATCTTCCACAGATCCTAATGCCACATTCTTTTTCACAGAGTCCAGCTTCTCAAGTAATTTGCTCAGCATTAAAAGAGAGAGAGAAATTAAAGAAGAAAACCATAGAATATTAGAACAGAAAGAAACCTTAATAACCAAAACCTCATTGTAGAATTGACTCTGGTTCATGGCTGCTCTGTATGTGTGAGAGCAGAGCTGTCTGAGCTCCATGGAGTTTTCAGTGGATGGAGGGTTTGGGTGGGGTTTTTTTCCCCTTTTTAATTGGATCACTAGATCTTTGGAAGTTCTTCAGCGTGAACTAAAACCTTTAGAATTTCAGTAAGCAACTGAGCAGGTTAATTGGTTGTACCAATATGGAACTCCAAGAAAAACATAGGGTACCATCTAATCTGTTGTAGGAGAAAACTCTGACAGACTAGTGTTGATGTTCTGCCAGTACTCTAGTTACTAAAAGTCAAGAATGTATTCTAATATGTTCTATAAAAGGAAAAAGATATAAGGAGCAGAATCCCTTAACTCTTGAAGGCTATATTTGACAGCAAGATTTATACAGGTTACATTATTAAAGTTCCATTTACATCTATTTGTTTAAAAAGGGGTACTTACACATTTGATTTCATGGTTTCATAGATAAGAGAGACCTTTTTGATATGGGCAGAAACTGCAAGTCTTTATCTTATGAGAAAAGAGAATATTCAAGGTATTCACATAACACAGAAAAGGGGAAATACACAACAGGTGTTCCCTAAAGGGAAACAACGAGTGAAACCAATTTGATTCAGGTTGGTGGAGCTTAGAAGTATAAATTAAGCTGACCATAAACTTTGTTCTTAGGGGCTACTTTGCTTTTGACATGTTAGTGTTACATGTACATAAGAAGGGAGCTTTGCTGGCAAAATGGGTGAAACTCAGAATGAACAGCATGGAGGTTTCTAGGAATTGACTCTTTGAATTGGCCAGAGGATTTCAGAGTCAGCTCAGTATTCAACAGCTGTTTCTGCTATGCTCATGAATGACTGCTTTTACACAAAACAAACCCAAATGTCTGATTTTACAGACATTAAAATGGGGTCCAGAACTCTGTACCTGAACTCTATCTCTTTTTTATCTTGTAGAATGGTTACCTTAAATCAATCTTTTCATGCTGTTTTACAGGCAATATCTGCCGGCACTTGTTGCCCCTCATTCAGTGCCCCACATTGATTGTCCATGGGGAGAAGGACCCTATAGTCCCATGCTTTCATGCAGAATTCATCCATAAACATATTAAAGGATCACGGTAAGTCCAGATCACAGTTTAAACTTCTGCAACAGACCATTAAATGTTTAGAGCAACCTGTCTAGGACAAGAAAATTGAGAGGCTAGGAGCTTTTTAGGTGGATGCCTTCACCTCCACATTGCCAATATTACTGTATTTCAAGTACCACGAAAATACAGAAGACGAAGTTATAGTTTACAGGTAAATAGTGAAATGAAAAGATTCTCAGATTAATATCTCTTCTTGATACATTTGATGAATGTGCTAATAGGATTAAGCCATGCCTCTGGAAACTATGAACTTTGAGCAACTATGATAGTTATAAAGGCTTCATGTCTTTTGTTCATAGGGTCGCTATGAGTCGTGCTCGACTCGAAGACCATCAACAACAGTAACAACATTAATTAAAGTTTAGACTTATACCAATCTTTATTCACAAAAATAAATGATAAAATGTTTAGGGCAATAGGAATAGATATTTCAGAGGCAGTCAGACTGGATCAGGATAGGGTAGTTCAGAGGTATTGTACATAGGGTTGCTATGAGTCTCAGGTGACTTGACAGCACATAACAACAATTATCTACTTGGTAAGGCATGCGGGAGAGGGATGAGTGGCCTCCTCTCTTGCCATTTACTGCCTCTGAAAGGCCACTGAGGGTGAGCTATGGGTCAGTTCCAACTCAGTGACACACAACAACAATTAGTAAACACCATTTGAAAAACTGGAAAAATACCTCCACCATTCACTTAAATGCTGTTTTTATTAACATTTGTGTTTCTCTTTTGAGTTTTTTTTTTTTCATTATACTAGTTCATTTACTGTCAAATGGAGAAGCTGGCTGGTTTTAGGAGAGGCCGTGCACTAGGAATATTATAGTTAATGTTAGATAGATCTTGGCTGAAAGCAGAGTACCAGAGGAATGTCTGTGTGTGTTTCACTGATTATGCAAAAGCATTTGACTGTGTGAATCACAACAAACTGTGGCTGACTCTGAGAAGAATGGGAATCCCAGAACACTTGATTATGCTTATGCAAAACCTATACTTGGACCAGGAGGCCGTTGTCAGAACAAAGCAAGGAAACACTGCATGCTTCAAAATTGAAAGGGTGCATGTCAAGGATATGTCCTATCACCATATCTTTTCAGTCTATATGTGGAATAGATTATCCAGAGGCTGGGCTCTATGAAGAGAAGTATGGCATCAGCAATCTATGTTATGCAGATGACTCAACCCTGCTTGCTGAAGCAGAGGAGGATATGAAGCACTTGCTTCAGAAGGTCAAGGACTGTAGCCTTCAATATGGACTAAAGCTCTACATCAAGACAACGAAGATTCTCACCACTGGGCTGATTGGCAGCATCATGATAAAGGGTGAAGAGATTGAGATTATTGAGTTTCAGTTTGCTTGGCTCTACAGTCAACACTCTTGGTACCAGCAGCCAGGAAATTAAAAGAAAAATTGCATTGGGAAAGTCTGCTGTCAGAGACCTCTTCAATGTACTGAAGAGCAATGATGTCAGTCTGGAGACTAATGTGTGCCCAATACAGGCCATGATCTTTGCAATTAACTTGCTCTCATCAGAGAGCTGGACAATGAATGACTAGGGATGATAGAAGGAGAGTTGATGCCTTTGAGCTGTGGTGTTAGAGAATGGTATTGAATATACCATGGACTGCTAAGAGAACAAACAAGTTCGTCCTGGAGAGGGTGAAGCCAGGATGCTCCTTTGGAGTCAAGGAATCTGAAGCTCCATCTGACATACTTTGTATATATTGCAAGGTGGGATCAGGCCTTGGAGAGGGACATCATGCTTGGGAGAGTAGAGGGACAGCGCAGGAGAGGAAGACCCTTGATGAAATTAATTGATCGGAGACAATAAGATTAGCAAGGTATAGAGGGGTATTTAGGGCTATTGTTCATAGGGTCGCTATGAGTCGCAGCAATTCAACGGCACATAACGACAATTTGCTTACAAAATTAAAATACATTGTTTTTCGCACCAGATTATTCCAGTTTCCTTTACCCCCTCACCCATCAAATTGTACAACCCCATAATTAATCTCCCCTCCACCTGCACAGCCTCATCCCTCTGCTTCCACCCTCCCTCCCTCTCTTGAATCGTCATACACACTCTACAATAATGGTTTTATAGGTATTTCTCCTGTGAGACTGAGTTAGTTGACTCAGCATAATTCTTTCCAGTCTCTCCCAAGTTAGGTAATAATTTACAAAATCATTGTTCCTGCATGCTACGTAGTATTCCATTGTATGAGTGTATCATAATTACTTAATCTATTGCATGGGCTTGGTGACAGGAATGAGGCTGGAGATAGAATGATTGAATTTTGTAAAATCAATTACTTATTCATTGCAAATACATTTTATAAGAGACACAAACGCAGGTTATACACATGGACTTCACCTGATGGTATGCACAGGAATCAGATCGAC